TTACATGAATGTGTATTCTGTTTTTTCTGGTGTTTTTTCCCCTTTGAGTCTTTGCGTATGGGCTATGAATACTCAGCATCAGGGAAAATACTTTTATCTCCACTTCAAAATGTCAAACTCAAAGCAATTGGGGGTACACAACCATTCAGCCTTAGTAATATTGAACATCATTGGGAGGGCGAGAGAGGGAGTGTGTTAGAGAAATGAGAGACTTGGTGAAGAGAGACAGAGCGAGTGAGCATGTGTTGGAGAAAGAGAGCGACAGAGCATGATAGAGGATGGAGCAAGGGGGTTGGCTAAGCAACCTTGGTGCAATTTGTCTTCATGCAGCCGGCCCCTTGCAACGTCCTGCAGGCCCATGCTATTTTCCCTGACAAGCTTGTTGCCTCCAGTGCAATAGGTGATTTACCTCTCACTGTGGCACTGACCAACATTCCATTCTTGGAGCAGAGCAGAGTAAATCAAAAGTCTGGACTTCACCGTTAATCACTAATTACAGGTTGGATGGTGAAGGTTGATCCTTCCTAGGAGACTCAGTCCCCACAGGCCTCAAATCAGACCAAAAAGAGAAGCCAAGGCCACTTCCTCCTCTGATAAATCTCTCACGGAGGAGGCGCTGGACTCAAAGTGTTTGAGTCGGCTCCAACAGCCCAGACTCCCATCTCTCTGAGGAGTTTCTCATTCAGGTCGGATACTAGCCTTCACTTCCTTCCTCCCTCCCCTCCTTCCTCCATCCACTAGCTAAAGCTATGATGGAGCCTGGCTGGCTGTCTGTCTGCCCACTTTCTTCTTTAAATTCTCCCTCTAACTTCACACGTTTCTATTCCCCAAGGGATCAGCGGCAAATCGAGTTTGTTGCTTGCAGCGTATTCCGAAAGCATTAAGATACAAGGGGGCTGTAATTGAATGGTTAGGGGGGACATTATTGAAGGAGATTTCTGTCAGCGTTTCCACCCACTACCACCTCAACATCACGAAGATCACCAAGTGGCTGCATGGTGTGTTGATCTGCCAGCTATAGTGTTATTAGTGTCAGGGGAGGAGGAGGATCATGGATTAGCCATGCGTGACTGGTGGAAGATCCACTTTCTGTGATTCTTCACTTTCTGCATCACTTCTGATTTAAGGTGTTTTTCTTTCTTTGCTGTTTGTTCTCTTATTTCCTATCTATGCATTTATTTTCCATCAGATTTTTGTTTGCCTGACATCTTAATTTGTTTGCCTTTTTTTTTTTTTTGGTTCTTTTTGGCCCACCATTCTTATACTATTAAGTGTGCACTGAACCTTAAGATGTAACAATTAAAAAATTTATTTATTTAAAAGAGGAAAAAAAGCTGAACAGTAAAATGATTACCCAAACTGTATTGTAACATCCATTACAGTTTACAGATAGACTTCCTGATTCAGCTTTAACCTACTGTACTGGCTGCAGTTGACTGCACTCTCAGAAATAAGTTTGAACTAATCTGTCAGCTTGTATCCAACTTTTTTATTTAACCTATTTTTGCAGGAATGTCGTCATGCTGCAAAATTACAGCAGCTCCTCAAGTACAATGTTATCTCAACCGATGGAACTGCCAGAGCTACGAAAATAAAACCCAAGTTGTAATAAACTATATTTGTCTACTCACATTGGCCATCCTAGTGGGTCTGGGTTTGTGACATTTTACCAAAGAAACAACTCAGTCAAAATGCCTGGTTCTATTTAGCTCAACTCAGTTCAGAAAAGTTTGTGCTTTAGCTCTTGTGTTTCAGTTTGTTCCATCCTGCCAGATGAGAAAAGTTCACCAGAATTTAAAAAGTGACAAGTAGGATGACTCTACATTGTCTAAATTATGGCGACATGTTGTAATCTTTTGCTGCAGATCCACTTTGTCAAGGTGTTAAGGGTGAGTGCGTTATTACTTTAAAATCAGCTGCAGCTACAGACAGAAGCATATCTGTGAGCCCAGTGTTTTTAGTTGTTAAGACTACTGTTTTGTAGTTGGTCCACTGTGGCCTCACTGGATAAAATAGTTTTATTGAGGCCCTGTGAAATGTTTTCTTTCTTTCCAGTCATCTACTTTCTCTCTGGCCATGCTGGCTCTCATATCACCCCTGCTGACTGCTGTTGTCATGTCTTTATTATATGCAAACAGCTCTTAACTGATCAAACGTGTTCCATCAAATGATTTCTGTCACATTATGATTTCCAGAAGGGAAACTGTTTTAGTCACTTTATCAAGTTGGTTATTGCTTTTCATGTACCATTTAAACCCTTCCTTTTCTAGTCCAATTCAAGTGACGGTTAATGTTTGTGAAAAGAGAAATCTCCCTCTGTGCAGGCCATCACAAGACATTTTTATCATCAACCAATGAAAGAGACTGACTAATGAAGGAATACGTTCATGTTTGCTTTTTTCGAAATGAAAGACTGATTGACTCGTTAATGAATGTTTAAATTGCTTTCTCATTGCCTCCTGTGCATGGGGATGCGTATTACTCATGTTCTGGGGACGTACCTGTTTACGCAGTCACATTGTGGGGACCCACCTTTCTTTTAGGGACAAAATGCAAGTCCTCCTTATGCAAATCTAAGAATGAAGACTTAGATTAGGTTAGGGTTAGGTTAAAGTTAGGCTAAGGTTTAGTGTTAGGTAAGTAGTGGTTATGGTGAGAGTAAGTATACAGGAAATTAAGTCAATGTAATATCCCCTGAAGTGATGAAACATGACTGTGTGTGTGTGTGTGTATGTGTGAGCGATGATTTGGTATGCATAATTATAATGAAACACTTTATTTTCAAATTATTTGTGAAATTCAGAGTATTACAGTTAAAAAGCGGTGGACAGTGCAACACAATCACCTGTAATATATACTACAGTCTGATGCAATAGCCTAGCAATATAAACTGGCTTCATGGAGCTGATAATGTTCAATTTTTGTCAACTCTGTGACAGAGGTGTTGGCTCAACACCATTAGTTTTTGAGGTCAATATTAGTGGTGTTGCATTGAATTACATTATATCATAGGGTGTTTCTGATCTGATTTCTAATATTGTGCCCAAAGCAGTGAGCCAAGATAAGCAGAAACTGCTTTTTCAAACAACTATTTTCAGAAGTATCAGCCTGGGTAAAAGTGATTTTCACCTAGACTTTTGATTCCCATTTACCCTGCAGTTTCCTGCAGAAAGAGCACATTGAAAACAGTTTCCGATTCTATTAATAGAAGGTGAAAAGAGCAACAAAGAACATGCAAATGAGCTTCTGATTATGCACCCCACATAGGTGGAAAAAACTTGCCTAAATCAATGGTTGAAGGACTGTATTTGTGCTGAAAATTGTATTTTTAAAAACAGATTATCACCCATTAAATAATCAAATCATACTGTTTTTTTGTTGTTGTTTTTTTTAACGCAACACAACACCAGGACAAACTTTAGTTTCACAAATTACTACAGACTTGGATTCACTCTACACTAACAGTATAATCATCTCAACTTAGAGTTATACTTCACTTAGAAGAAACGGCTGTTATTAATCCTCTAATTTTTATGTTATCTTGGCAGAGAGTTCCCTGGTTGTAAGCAGGGTTTCATTGGGCCAAATGATAGATTAGAATTCTTAACTCAGAGCTTCACACTGAAAAGAAGTATGAGTTGTCTCACAGCTTCAGTCTGATTGGCTCGGATCTAAAGGGCTAGCTGAGGTCACAGTTCAAAGACACAACAAGTGGACCAAACAGCAAATGAGTGAGAAGGTTAAAAAAGCATTCAGATGCTGTTGGTACAGGGCTACTGAAGTCATGCTGTAATTGAAGGTGCTCTCATCCTTATTCTCTGGGCTGTGGCAAGTGAACACTGTCTGTTGGACCTGCTCTTTCATTAGGTTTTGTATTTCATGCCCTTAGGAGCAGAACAAATTGAGTCTCTGTTTCCTTTTGCTCCGTTGCTCATTACCCAAGAGAAAGATTAAAAGGCATTCTCTCACAGACCACGTTACATAATACCACCGAAGAATGGATGAGTGTACATTGTACTCATTGTCTCATCAAAATACTGGACGCACAAAGGGCGTTAACCAACCATAGCCGTGCTGACCTCTCACCAACCCACCCTGGCTTTTTTGTGGCAATATTTGCTCTCAGTAATGGAGTTGGAGAACACAGCCGCATCTCATCATCACACATTTTAAAAACTTTTTGAGTCAAGCAAAGTAAGCAGCGACTGGTCAAGGTCTAGGCCTGTGTTTCCATGGGGAACCTCTCTGGCAGTGCCAAGATTTTTTCCCATGTTACTTTCATCAGAATGGGTGCACTCCTGGGATTTCACAGCATGGGAAGCCTGGCTTGTTTTAAACTCTCAGAACACTGAGCATTTTAAAAATACTCCAACTTCTAGTTACAAAGCAGCATGCTTAGACCAGCAGCACTGGTACCTCCCAAAAGTGTCTGTTTTGTACCATAAGCTAAAAAAGAGGTTCATAGTGGTAGACCCAGGGTCCTTAGAGAGACTGATAGAGAAAGTAGGACTTCCATTATAGTATCATTACATAAATTATGCAAAGTATTTACAAAACATTTAACTTAATTCCTTCCCATTACTTTGCAAATTGCAATAACTGTGCTGCCTCAGTGCATCATTAACTAAAAAAAAACAATTGCCTCTATAGCACAACAACAGCTAATTGAGACACTGTATTTTGTTTTCTTGTTTTCAGGCTTCATTAATGAAAAATATGGGCAAAACATGAATTCTTGCTTTGTGAAGTGTCTCAGTGAGTGTTTATGCCTCTGAATGATGAGCCCATCAACTCTCAATTATACTTTTATAGGTGGACTCTGACTTGAACAGCTTTCCTCCCTTGTTTAAGCTAACTTGTTCAAAAAACAAAAAAAAAAAAAAACAGAGAACTGGAAGTGTTGCCACTTTTACTCAGAAGTTGATTTTTATCTCTCAAAACTGAAATTGAGCCAGTCTCCTCCTCATCTAACATTGTCATTTTTTTCCTCCCGTCAACAGATGTGTACCTGCTCAGCCTCCCAGACGACCAGAAAGTGAGCGTCACCACTGTAACAGTTGGCCAGAGCACCGTTTTGACTTGTGCCATCACTGGAGAGCGGAGGCCTCCTATATTGTGGAAGAGAAACCATCAATATCTGAACTCCTTGAACCTGGAAGACATCAATGTAAGAGCCAGCTGACATCACTCTCTCTGATTTATTGTTTTTTAGTAGATAGATCGGTAGATGAGAAAGAAAGATTGGTAATCTACTACTATCTACTACTACTAATACAGTATGTAGTTGACACACATAAATATATAATGGGATTTATAGTTAACACATGCAGTTCACAGGTCTTATTATTGCATTTTCACCTTGTGAAGCATCATCAATTCTTAACTACTGTTTCAGAGCCGTCCCCTTTTTGAGCTGTAAATTTCAGATAATTTCATCCTATATTTCTTTCTCATCATATTTCAACTTTATTTTCTTGGCAGTGGCTCAGACAGTCGGCACATTTTATTTGACTGTTGGCGCTGGCTTTGTATTGTAGGTCTGACAGTAATCCAGGATGTCAGTTTGTGTTCTTGGTGTCTGTGTTTAGAGACTGCTGGGAGGGACAGGGATTTCAGACAAAGAGAGAAGATGAAGGGGGATACCAAAGGGGTTCAGCCCTAGAGGAAAGACCTATTTTTACAACTCGGTGAAAGACTGTATGTGTATGTATGCGTCTGTGTGTGTGTGTGTGTGTGTGTGTGTGTGTTAATCTGCAACCACGGCCCCAGACAGCCCTCTGTGTCACTTTCATCCACATCAAAAGGAGCAAGGACACTTATGTGGTGAGGTAAAGAAAAGGCAGACCTTCTTCGCCTCACCCTTTTCCTCTCTGTGTCAGGGCTGACCAAGATGAGTGCGATACTGGTGTGCATAATTAAGTCAACACTGTCGCAGTAGATAAAGGGAGACCCAGCGAAGCCACTAATGTAACATTAAATGTTGATGACCCTTAAAATGAGTAAGAGGCGCCCAGCTGTCGCCAGTCATCCTTGGCACTATCAACTGGCTCTAAACTAGAGCGCTGGTTCTGGTTGTAGGTGATGTGTGATTCCCATAAAGAGCTGCGTCAACACCATGAGGTGATTTTTAGGCTGTGCAGATGAGAGTAATGGCTTTTTCACTTTTAGTCGTTTTCAATAATGTATTATGACTGCTTTTAAGCAATTCACTGCCAAAATGATGTATGCAGGTGCTGGGTGTGACAAAAACGGAAATGTCAAGTCAGATTATTTCTTGAAAACGCTCTGAATATCTTTTTTTAAGATTTATAATAAAAAAAAGAAAGGTGCGAGGTCTTGTAAGGTCAACGCAGGCTTTGATCTATCTTTCAAATCTTTTTTTTCCCAAGAACTGTTTTACTTATTTCTTTTTTTTCCAGATTCAACAGAAGTCGTTTTTGTTTCATCTGCTGATGTTGCCTGGAGACACATAACAGAGTTTAGTGTCCCGACCAGGGGTGGTCTTTGTCAGCACTTCACACACAGTCATCAGTTTCCCGGAGACTAATATCAGATCTTGCACAGGTGGATTTTCAATTCAAATGTCAGCTCAGCGATGAAAGTCCCTGCTGCCAGATGCTGCTCAGTATATCCATTGTAGCAAACATAGTTCATCAATAGCTGGAATAATGACAGCACATAGAGCAAGGACCTGGAATGACCTATTATCCTTAAATATCGGTGGGCATTGTAATATCACATCAGAACTTTTCAGTCTCTTTTTTTTATCTTTTCACTGTGGAATAATACAGTCATACAGTGGAAAGAAGGACAGACTCTGTTGGTAATCAATCAAAGCTTGGCCTTTTGTGGTTTGCAACTATCAAAATTTGATGTCAGTCCACAGAACTCATAGCCCCAGTTATACATCATAGATAGAATGGAGCAGAAAGAAGGATGCCACTAACGCTTGCATTTTAATTAACCCTGAACCACTTTAGTACCCCCAGGATCTTCTTTTCCAGCATTTCATGTTGTTGCATAAAATCACACTTCCCTTTGTCTCTGTGGTACATACAGCATGTTGGGTTGAAGCCAGTGCATCTTCATGAAGTGAGACTAAGTATAACTTCTAGAGGGACTAACTGTCTCTTCAGAGAGAACTCGCTGTACATTGACCCTGGAGGTCCTCGATTGTCAGATTAGATTTTTTTGTTGGTGTCTTACAAAGCCAGAGTTTACAACCTCTGCTAGTGCACAGATTACCTCCAGAGCAGCTGCACTAACAAAGAACACCAGCAGCAAGTGAATCAGCATGAGCGCTAACAGTCTCTTGTGGTTCATCAGAAAACTGTGTGCAAACCACGCAGCACCAAGAGAAACTACCAATGGAACTCGAGCAGCACCAACAGCGGCTTAATCCAGATTTATTTTTGGCTCTCAGACTTCCAGTCAATCATTATTGTTCCTTCCAGAGAGGAGAATGGATTTCGTCTGCACCTGGCATCCACAGACTAATTCTAAATTGCCTTCCAGACAATTTCTGTATAATTGCTGGCTGTTAATATTTGTGAGTATCCACTGCCAGCCTTAATTAGAGTCATATTCCTGTGAGTACACGTGAGGTTTATATATTCTGATTTCGCAGGCCTTCCCAGTTTCGAATGTGGTTTATTTTAGACATTTTGTCGACATTCATACTTAGTGAATCGCATATTAATCCCAGTGGTGCGTGTGTATCCCAGAGTTCAATAGAGCCTCTCTAAATTTTGACAAAGCAGCTTACTGTAATTCCATGAAGTTGACAGTTGCTGGCTATTGCATCATCATCCAAGGCTGTCAGTATTTCAATCCTCCCTGAGTGGCCGAGCCAAAGACACAGTCGTGTTTTTTGTTTCCATGTCTGTGTGTGTATACATTCATGCGTGCGTTTGGGGATGCCGGTCCTGTGGTCCCGGAAATAGTACAGAAGATGAAAAATGCATTTGATATTTTGTAATTTTTAAAAAGTTTGGAAATCCAACAGTGTGAAAGTGCATGTTTGGAGAAAGATTGTAGAAATTGTACAAAGTCATCAGCTACTTTTTGGGGTTACATATCCTAGTAAGTCAACTTGCAAGGTCACTATAAAAATATATCTGATTTAGCTACAAAATCTTTAAATTCAATAATGAAAAAAACCTTAAAAAAATGGAAAATATGTTTTGAAGACTGCAGCTTTAACAGAAATAGATATAACGTAAGAAACAGTACAATCTGAACTGAATCTTTCTTCTTCTCCCTTTTTATCTTGTCCATTGGAATAGGTGATTTTATCTTCCTTAATGCTTTGGTGACTTATTCTTGTGGCCTTCACATTATCTCTGCATTGTGGAGATGTACTATACGTAACATTAAATGTATGTGATCATTTCTAACATCTACATTCAGTTTTGATCAGTGTGGACCACCTCCTGTGATGCAGTTTGTATTCTGCCTGTGCTGTTTCCAGAGGATGAATACATGAAGCTGTGCAACATTATAGAAATAACACATGAATCACTGTGGCCTGTATCATTATATCTTCAACTTCTATCAAATAGATTTTTTTACTGAATTAATCATGTTATCTGGGAGTGCAGAGCCACACTCCATGTACTCATCTGTACTACTCCTATATTATCCTGACATGAGATCTACGTTGAGGTATATACTGTACTTTCATTTCTAAACACAACACCAGCAGTGCTCTCGCCTGTTTGCTTTAAAATCTGTTTCTTATGCTTTAATGCTTTTTATTGAAATAAACCTCTGAATGTTTTGCCTGTTTTTCTCCCCCAACAGATGCCGTCCCAGGTAGGGTGTTTTTGTCTCCACAGACTGACATTGCCTCACTCTTTTTATTTCTCTTGTTCCATTCACAAAAAGCCCACAAAGCTATTGAGGTGCCTACAACAATTCTACAGCAACAGCGTCAAAACTGTTTTTGCAAAACAAATAATCTGATTAAAGCATCACACAAAGATTCAAAATGATTTGCATGTGTTGAAAATGGAAACTCGATCATGAGAGTTAAAAGCAAATATTTATGCCTGTCAGAAACAAAGTCTACCCGCTATTTTGAAAGGTATTTTTACCCAGATTACGAGTCAACATATTTTGTCATCTACCTCTGGTGGTAACAAAGCCCTGCAGATAGTTTTGGTTTCATGTGACAAGATTTTGAGATATAACCTCTATCTGAATTGTTGGGACTGTTTCTTTTGTAAATAGCAGTTCCAGTTAAGTCTGTGGAGGAAGCAGAGTAATTGGGAACATTGCTTATCGAAAAAAGCTGCTCAATCTTTTTCAAATGTCACTTTATATTATATATATATATAGTGGTAGAGACACAAATGTTTGCAGCAGAAATCGTAAGACATTGGCAAACTGAAACTATCTGTGTGGTTAGAAACCACTAGAGGTAAGTGTGATTTTTGGAATTTGGGTGAACAAGCCAAAATGTCTAACTACCCCCTATTTTTATTTGCGTTCCCTTAATAGGCTTTCATTGAGAGAAAATATACTTTTTGTACATAACACTTCACTCAACATACTGTGTACCTCTCTCAAAGTTTCATAATCTCAGGCAGGAAACTTCTTCGAAGGCCATTTTCTGAAATGCCTCGTCACTGCCAGAGGTTAGCTATCCAATGAGGTGGCTCTTTAGTGTCCTTTCAGAGGTGACCTGGCACTGACAGCTTTATTAATTATAGTTTCTTGAGGGCTATGGCCTATTTGTAAATCCACCTCTACCTGCCCTTGTCTCCCTTCCCTCTGAGTAGTCGTACACCGGCCTGCTTTGTCTGCAGAGAGCTGGGTGCTGGGTGCTGCTGATAGCTGAGGCGAGGGTGGTGAGGTGAGGTGGAGGAATCATGTCGACAGCCTCCGCTGTGGCTCGTTCCACCCCTCTGAGTTTCATTTCTCCCCCCATTCATTTTTCATTTAAAAAGGTGACACAATATGCTCTCAGCCCAAGGGGCCAAAACGCACCATCGGTTTCCCCTCATATCGTGAAGCTCTGATGCTTCACTCAGCCCGAGCCGTTACCGAGCTCGTAGGTTAGTTCGGAGCAAACCAGGACGAACTGATAAACACACTCTATGCCTGTAAACACGATGGCTGACTCTCCTCGCTTGTCTGTAGATATTTGAGGGGAAGCTGAATGCCAAGATGTAAACAGCCAGCAGAGATGTGATCGAAAAGTTAAAAGCTATTTAATGGGAGAAGGCCCTTCTTATGAACTCTTCTGAAAGAGGAGTGGTAATTAGGGCCAAGTCTTTTTTAATAAAATATTGCTGTGTTCAGTTATAAAAACGAGAGGCATGGGGGCAGACTCATGGACATTCTTAAGAGCAAAAGTTCACACCACTAAACGATAGCTGAATGATTTTTTAATGCATAGCAGCAATGATGAATGAAGATGTTTTGGCACATCATCAGTTAGTGGGCAACAAAGAAAACCTTAATGAAGGTTGAGTGCCGGAGCACATTAATTTATGAAAAGCTTCTATGCATCAGAGAGTGGTGAAAACCTATTATTGTAAGCACAGGCAGTTCTTTAGTTTCTAAGTATCCCTGAAAACATTTATAATATAATCATTTGATTTAGTTAATGTGTTAAATGGATATTGTCATATAGTGTAATGTAGATTTAATTTTTTTCCTCAAATTATATTAGATTATTTCCAGTAGTTTGGTTTCTCTGTTTAGGGAAGTGAAAGAGACATGAAATAAAAATAGATTACTCTACCAGGGCCAGTTGGGAGTAATGACAAAAGTCTCACTCCTACTCACGGTGAGGTTTAAGATTAACCTTTTAGAGTAACTCTCAAGCAGTAGTGCAGATTGATCATGTGCACACTCAGAGCAGGGATAGCCAATCAGCTACAAGGAATTTACCTAACCTTCACCTATCTGCCTCACTGTTTTGTTTTTTGTTTTTTTTTTTTTTTTGGGGGGGGGGGGGTTAAATCTTTATAATCACATTATAAATATATATTGTGCTCCAAATGTATACATACTTTTACAAACTTAATTTATGTGAGATCTTCAGTTTCTCGTGTAGCAACTAACATGTAAAATTTGCAACTAACACATGAAATTAACAACAGTCTAATATGTTTTCAATATATAAATCTATACGTAAAAATTGGCTGTAATGAAGACTATGATACAAAAAAGTCACTGCAGCGACTTGTCAAGATGACTTTGTACTGTGTGATCTTAACAAGATGGCAGACATTCGCTCTTGCCAGACCGATTCATCACACCAGCACACCATCAACAGGCTCATTAGCTTTGGGGGCTTCTGTCTGCTGAGAAATGTATTCTTCTCTTTGCTCTCTTTGCTTGTCCAGCAACATTTTTTTGTGTTCACTGACTTAATAATCATCACAACACAGCATGAATTAATTAATCATGTTTCAGTTGGCTCTACATAAGTTAACATCATACATAGGTTTTGGTTTAATTACATCTTTTGTTTTTCTTTAAACAGGCCAAATGAGCATTGACGTGCAACATGTTTTGTGCATTTGTGGAAACTGCATGTTAACCAAATTGTACCAGCTTGCATTTTGGCCTTTTCAGGGACAATGACAGTGATATTTGAAATGAGCAGCAGAAATTATTTTGATTGACTGTTTGTCTGCGGCGCTATATTTCCCTGTTTTTGTTCTGAAAGCAGCTAACACTGTAATTTCTACACTAATCAATTATAGCCTCAGTCCCTTTCCATCAGATCACTTTCCTCTGATTGGAAAAATGACATGTTCCAGAAAACAATTTTTCTTAACTGGAATTTTGACAGTTATTTTCCTCAGTTGTTTTCTGTGGCACCAAATGGCTCTAACTTTTGACTTAGATTAATGGGCATTGCTCTACAATGTGCCTTTTTGGGCTATTGTTATATTTTTCATTTCCTATGCTATGAAACATGTTTATCATCTCATCTGCACCCTGCAGACTTGTTGCATTCCCATTGAAACCGTTCATTTCCAGCTTTAAACGCCTTTAACCATCACTATTGCTACAAGACCATCTCTAAGTCATTAAAAGTTTATTTTTCTCTTTCACTTTCTCTCTCTGGCAGGACTTTGGGGATGACGGCTCACTATACATCACCAAGGTGACCACAACCCACATGGGCAACTATACCTGTCATGCCGATGGCTACGAGAAACTTTTCCAGACCCACACACTTCAAGTGAATGGTAAGAGGCTGCTGGACAGAGGGAACACATATTTATTCACATACTTCATCCTCCACCTTATTTTAGTGTTTACTCACAAAGTACTTTAACCTGCTCACCTTACTTTTCCCTTCAGTTCTCTCTTCCCCACTCGCACACACGCACACAAACACACCTTGATGATTGTTGAAACAATGACAGAAAGAACAGAAAGGTTTTGGTGGGTTTTATTTTGTTTCTGTTGAGTTTGAATGAAGTGTTGCGATGTCACAAGGAAAAAAATTCTGTTTTTCTCAATGAAATCTGGTGGCTTTGAACACAGCAAACTGCTGTTTCTGGTCAAACAAAGAGGATCTGAGCCTGTCAGTGGCAAAACAATGAGCACTTTTAGTGGATCCACATTGACGGTGCACAAGTGCACATAAGGATTATGTTCCAGCCAGTTTCGTGGCTGCCAGCTGCAGCCCTCTTGCTCAATACTGGACCAAATTCAAAAATTGTTGTCCACATTAGACACAAAAACATAGGAAAATTGGGTCCAGGTTGAAAAATACTTAAATTACCTTTTAACAAATAGATGCAGAATAAGACTAAACCAAAATACTTCAGGATAGATAGTTATCAGTCATTGTCCATCCTATGTTTGCAGCAGCATGCCACTCTCCTCTACTCTCATTCCCGCTTCCCTTGGCGCCTACCCTCTGGCAGGCTAATATTATGTAAAACCTTCCCTCTTGAGATTTACAACCAGAAAGTCAGAAATAACAAATGACAGCATGTTATTGTGACACTAGCAGCAGTGTCTGTTCATATTTATTTTGCCATACAATGCCATTTTCCATTAAAAGATTTATATTCCACTTCATGCTAATTGATGTGGTGGACCTGCTATATGAATTCTGAAACAGACACCGTATGGAGAGGGCAAAGGTGTAGTGGCTGGATTGAGATTGTGTGAATGAGCTAGTTTTCTCCAATACTGCTCCTAATTAGTTGAATATGAACAAGCTCCACATCTTTATTTAGTAATACATTTGACAGACAGTTAGCTCATTATCATTCTTCAAAAAAAAAATTACTCCAAGGTTAATTGCAATGAGACACAGGTCCTATTATACCAAGTATTGTGTTTACGGAAACAGAGGGAATCTCATGAGACCGACTAGTTTTGGTCATAATTGATACTGAAAGTTCCAGATGACCTTTTTTACTGCAGGCTATGAATTTTACATTCGTAGTCTGGCTGAAGTCTCCGAGGACCAGCTATCACCCTGCCATGACTACTGAGATTTTCTAAAACTCAATTAAGAAACAGCCGAAAGAGAGCGTAATCCTGAGAAACTGGATTCAGAATGCTGTCCATCACTCTGAGGCCACACGAGAATGACAAGATATACTGTGTTTTAGAGTTTTATTCAGAATGGCTGATGAAATTTGGAATGGATGAACTTTTAGTGAAACTTTTGATTTCCCTGTGAAGCAGGCAGAGAGCAGGGCAATTAGTGTATTGTAAGCTTGTGTGGAGGATCTTTGAGGAAGTTTAGGCTTTGATCCATACTTTACCTCCCTACACACACAGATGCATCAAAACGTCCCTTGTGGATTTTAAACATGCTTTTTGTGCATTGTCCATCTGTTTTTATTGACAGTCAGCCTCAATGTAATGTCTGACTCATCTTGATGAATACAGTTGAATGCTTTTCATTTTACAATATTATCTTCAGTGTGTGTTATTATTTGTTATCCTCTGTATGTTGTGTCAGCTGTTGTTTTGTCTATAGCTCCTTCTTCGTTGTAGTGACCCCACTTTACCCACACAAATCAATAAAGTTGCATCTAATTTGTACTGTGCCTGCAAAGTTTGTCCACTCTTCCAGCCACTTTAGCAGAAAACAAATCGCTGTTTCAGGTAAACTAATGAAAGTCTTGGTTGAATTGTCAAATACACCAACCACTTCTGCTGCTGGAAAAATAAATTTAGTTTTCCACCCTAGAAAGCTGCATTCATTTTGAAAACATAATTTGAGATCTAAGGATTTTTGATGGGTAAAATGTAACAATATGGGTCCTAATGTGTTTACTTCGGCCTGGCAGCTTCATCTTTCAAAAGGTAGCTCTAGCTGTTTGCAATTATTAATGATACATAACACATACATTACTAATGCAGTATACACGCACAGTTCTTTGTCAGTGTCATTTCATTATTACCCTCTCACTGTTTTTGAGAATGATCTAATTATACCCTTTTTCCCCTTATTCTGGTGTCTTGGTGTGTGCCTCTGTGACCCTGGCAGTGGGTTTGTTGAGGCTAACAGCTCCAGGTATGGTCTCCCAAGCGGAGGGGGTACACCAAGAGTGATTCAAAGCCCAGTGGCCAAGCCTATACCCATGGGGTCTTGTTAGGAAGTAATGTGGGACTGCCATGATGTAAGCCTGCAAGGCTAGCTGTCGGTGCCAGGCAAAGGCTGTGGTGTGCTGATGCCTAGCTACAAAACTGGCCCTCGGGACCTGTAATGTCATATTTCTAGTGGGAATAGAGGCCAGGGCTAGAGGTGGAGCCATTACAAGTAGATATATCCAAGTGATTAAATAGTATTTGAGCTCACCTCGAAGCACAGCAGCAGCTCTGGAACCAGAATTAATCGGGGCTGGGCTGTATCTTTTTCCAGAGTTGTGGGGAGGCTCACATATTAGAGTTTTCCTCAGAGAGTGAGAGGGTTGCCCACATGTGACTGTATTTTACAGAAAGGACGGCTCTGACTGTCGCTGTGCCTAGGCGCTAAAAAGGAGTTCAGTGTACTGACTTGGAGTGTCAGGTTGCAAAAAAGAGTGTGTGCCCAGGATCCAAAATTTGATTTACAAGCCAATGGCTGGAAAACTGAAAGAATTTACTGGCCGAAATATTTTTCAGCTGACCATAAAACTACATAAGATACAATGTCATTTAAAACCCTCCTTACCCCTTTATCTCTGAAGCGCCAAATTGAGTTTCAACCTCACTTCCACTGTGATCTAAATTTCTCCTTTTAGGTTAATCTACTTACTTATATGCCCACACATACTTGTAGACTCTTTCTGTGTTACAGAATTACAATACAATTATTAACGATCATACCTTGCATGCTGCCACCAGTGTGAGTAGTTGATGCAAAGCAAAACGCGGTCAATCTACTTATGTGTTTTAGTGATGAGAGTTTGTAGTAAAGTAGGCCTATTCCACTAAACTGCTAATGGCTGACAACCTCATTCATTTTATTCACCAATGTAAATGTTTACTTTTTAATAATAAAAGAAAATAAATATGCAACTGTTTTAATACCTGATTCAGTTTTCAAGGTTTTAGCTTCTGAAATGTGATGATACACTGATATTCTTTGTCAAATATATTAGCAAAATGAATATTTTTAGGTTTAAGACTGCACATCAAGCAAATTGAAGGCCGTCACCATGGATGCCATTTTTCACTATTTTTAACATTTAACATTTAATAGATTAAATAATTAATCAGTTAAAAGACAACCAACTGAATACCACTTGCCTTATTAGGCCCTATCTAGAGCGACTGTGAAAACATGATGGTTTAATATGGCAGACTCCATAGAAGAGTAACCCTATACATTATAAACTGCTGGACACACAGCCTGCCTGAGCAGTGCACCACTGCTACCTCACTGCTGTGGCTCGCACCCCTGTGGTGTCCACACAGAGTGCGTTTCTGCTGCTGCGCTGCTGCTGCTGCTACCAGCCCTATCTTTCTACATTGAGTTTTCCTTTAAAAAAATAAAATAAAAGCCTTGTTAACAAATGGATTCTGTCCAGAGAAAGGCTAGAGAGCTTTTAATCTGAAACAGATACAGGGAGTGTTGAGTTGAACAAAAGTATTTATATTATTTTTTCCATCTCTGTGACATATTCTACAGATATAGATATCGAAAGTGAGAGGTGTATAATGTTGATATGACCATGAAGAGATCATTTTCACTGTCTATTTTTGCTGGGAATCGCTTGTGGAAAGAACAGGTGAGCCTATTACTCTCTAGGGAAGCCTTGCTGCAGCTGTGCCTGAGACATGTGGCTCACATGGGAAGTGTGGTTGCTGTAACCTGTTAACATTGGCACCGAAATGAAAAGCAAGATGTTCCACATGCTGCACATGTGGGTAGTGTGTCCAAGGTTTAAGATGACAAAAACAAAACAATTCTTATTTTCAGGTGATTATACACTAATGAAAACATACCTTATGAATATTATATTCCAATTCTGCCAATAGATCCTCCTAAATGTTACACACTGGACATTTAATCATGAAAACAATCAACAATTCAATAATGAAAGTAATCCCTAGGAGGAACATCCTGCCTCATATAAACCTGTGGCTGAGGGTTGTGGGTTTGTTTTGTTTGTACTGGTCATGGACTCTCTATAATGACCAACATATTAAATATAAAGTAGTTCATAAGTGTAGCTGGTACAGAACACCTCAGATCAGTGTTCAGTGATGGTCTTTGTGGTCAAAATCTGCCCTACAGTCATATGTGATGGAGATTTGTTTGAAGAGAGAAGAGCTTTTAAGTGCTCACTACTTGGAATGCTGAACCACAGCTGTTCCTGCTGCAAATGATCAAAAACATACATACATTAAACATCAGTTCCTAAGACATCTGTTTTATATTAAATACATTTCTACATTTAGTATACACATTTAGACATGCCAATTTTTTTTAATTTAGCATATATTTCTTGATAATATTGGTGATTGTTCTAAATAAATAAAAAGGCTCACTCCAATACAAATTTAAATGTGAAATAAGACATGCCATAGCAAGCATCTGACATATTTTAATATCTTCTTTTTTGATATATTGTACTACCTTTTTTTTTTAAATTAAGATTCATACAAGAATAATTATTATAGAACTAACTTCATTATCACACATACAATAATACACAGTATGACGCATCTTGACATTTTTCCTCTGCATTTAACCCATCCTAAGCACTAGGAGCAGTAGGCAGCCACT